ACAATGAGGGTAAATTGGTCTTTTCCCATGAATAAAATATTTAAGGGATCATAAATAAGGGGTGGAGGGGTCACAAATTAGGTTTTTTAAAAATGAGATCATTTATCCAGTTTCAGTTATTGGAGGGGTCATAAATTCAAATTTCCCTTCCAAAATGTGGTTAGGTAACCCACTTTAATATTTAATTGAATTTAAAAGGAAATGAAATTACACTATTATCCCTCTTTTTAAAAATCAAACTATTTATTGGACGTCTCTTTCTCTTCTCCTTCTCCATTCAAAATCGCTTCTGTTCCATCGTCTTCTCCGTTCGAAATCGCTTTCGTTCCATCTCCTTCTCTGTTAATTTTTGTTCTTTTCCATTGATTTGAATGTTAGGGCTTCGATTTTCATCGTTGTTGAGGAATTAAATGTTTTGTTTTTCCGGTGTTTGGGTGAACGAATACACGAATTACATTGCATCGATTTAAGTTTTATTTCTCGTGTATTTCATGTTTTGAAAAATAGGAAAACTGATTATTGTTTGTGTGTTCCTTGTTCTTAATTTTTTAGTACATTATTATGTCAATTTTGAGGTCTCTAGTCTCTGTGTGTGAGGATGCGAGGTTTATTTGAAATATTTGTGGTGGGAGGTTAAAGAAGAAGGGCGAACTCGGGCGAAGTGAGATGGACCTCGAGCGAGGTTGAAGAAATTTGTTCTTTCGCTCAAGGTTTATTAATTTTGTGTCAAAATTCTCAGGAACGACCTCGGGCGAAGTTGAGCCTGAGGTAATTGAAAGACACTAAACCTGGAGCGATGTTTGGAAGAAATTTCAAATCTTGGTCGAGGTTCTAGGCCTCTGAAAAATTTCTCGAGCGCGGTCTCACCCGAGGTTGAGACCGAGGACTTTTCTAGATGCTTAGAAACCTCGAGCGAGGATTTAAATTTGAAAGTCGCTCGAGAGTTTGTGCTCTCTGTTATTTTTCTCGAGTTCGACCTCGAGCGAGGTTGAGCCCGAGGTATTCGGAAGAGGCTGAACCTCGAGGTAAATTCGAGGTTGAGCCTGATGTTACCTCGWGGTTGAGCCCCTTCAATTACCTCGTGCTTAACCTCGCCCGAGGTCGAACCCGAGAAAAATAACAGAGGTTCAACAAGAGTGATGTTCCTTCTTCTTCTTCAACCTCCCACCACACAACTGAATTACTATCAACGTAACCTTCCACATACCTTAATTTTAACAGTACAATAACTAAGGAAAAATCAACAAATAACATGAAACGAAAAAAAGAGTAAAATCGAACAACGAAATCGACGGAAAAATACCAAAATAGATACATTAACATTCATGTATTCGTTCATCTAAACATATGAAAATATCGACGGAAAAAAAGTCATTTAACTCCTCAACCCACAAAAAACGAAGCCCTAACCATTCAAATCGACGGAACAATGGAAAAATTGAAAAAAATGAAATTTACCTTGAAGATTAAATCCATTTCTTTCACTTTGTTTCAAAACGAATTGCCAAGAAAAGGGGAGCAAAAACGGAGAGAAAGAGGAGCGAACAGTTTGACTTTTTGAACTAAGTGGTAGTACTGTAATTTTGTTTCATTTTAAATTTAATTAAATATTCAAGTGGGTCATTTGGGCACATTTTGAAGGAGTGGGTCATTTGAGCATTCCATAAACTTTTGAAGATTATTTAAATCAATTTTCGAGGAAAGGAGAGGAGTGAAGGAAGAGAGAGAAATGAAGAAAATGGTAGATAAAGGAAGATGAAGGGGAAGGAGAAGAAGTGTTGGAAGAGAGAGAAACGGAAAAAAGAAAAACAAGCTACATAATAAAAAAAAAACCCACCTAATATTATAATAACATAAAATTTATAAAAAAGTGACACCTCGTATAAAAATCACAAATTAACAATATCATGTTATTTTTCCATTATTCAGGAATCATTTTAAACTATTTTTTAAATTTCAGAGACTAAAAATGCACATTTGGAAACTATAGGGACAAAATGGACACTGAACCTCTCAAAGAACCAGAAGTGTATCTCATTTTACCTAGGTTGTTGTCCACTGCTGATAAAGATGATGAGATTATCTGGGACATGATAAAAAGAAGGAAAGAAGGTTTTTTCTCTGTTAAAATCGCCAAAGGACAAAAAGAAAAAAATAATAGAAAAAAAAAATCCAAGCTTCTTTTATGGTTCTCTTCTCAAATTGTAATTTAAATGAGACGTTTTTGCTAATTACCAAAACATAAACACAGC